ATCACGGCGCGGTCACCACTGCCGCCTTTTCGGGCGCATTCAGGGGGCTGGACGAGTCTCGGTCGGCTGACCAGGAGGCAGCCGCATGGCTGTGGATGGCGATGGGTACCACCTTGTTCGCGGACAAGAGTGGTAACAGGATTACTCCGAAGGTCCTGCACGAGATTATGGAGGACACGGCTAAAGTTCCGGAGTACTCCTGGGGCTCGGCTACACTGGCATACCTATACAGACAGTTAGGTGTTGCCAGTAGGGGGGACGCCAAGGGACTGACTGGCTGTTTGGCTCTCCTGCAGACCTGGATTTTCGAGTACTTCCTGCCCTTTCGCCCCCACGAGGCACCCCGACCTGTAGATGGCTCTCCCGCACGTTCTACCTGGTGGAGCACGGCGGTAACTCAGAGGTCCGCAGACCGCCTTCAGGGTTACCGTGTCGCCCTTGACCAGCTCAGGGTGGACTAGGTACGTGAATGTTATAAGTGTTATTTACATTTTGTTAAATATTATTTTTTAAAAAATATGAGTGTTATAATAAATGTTTGTGTGCAATTTTGAACAGGTGAACTGGTTGCCGTACGACCACAACCCCGCTGATATCAAGGCTAGGACTCTCTATGCCGGGTGCATTAGGTACCGCGACATCGTGGAGCCCTACAATCCTCTGCGGTTGTTGCGTCAGCTGGGCTACGTCCAGCGTATCCCTCCCAGGATCCGTCGGCCATCCAGTGTAGTACGAGCTTGGGAGTCTCGGTTGTACAAGGTCGAGCACTCTGCAGAAGCTGCAGATGATTCCTGGGACGATTTCCCGCAGCTGTCAGCCGTCAACCTGGCTGCCTACACCCCCACCACAGTTACACCAGGGGAGGTCGAGTCGGGGTACTCCGAGTGGTTCGCTCGGGTTTCTCGTCTGAAGCTGTTGGGTGGCGATCCCACGGAGCCTCCCCCAGTCCCTTCGCGCGTCGATGCTTCTTATGTAAGTCGTTTATTTATTTTATTTTTTTTCTCAATGTGTGCTTTCATTATAATGTTTATTTATTATAACTCTTCGATTTGTGGATAGTGGATCAAGCGTTTCGACGACGTCCACTCTGCGTACATATCGCGGTTCGAGCGTGTTGATCCTGTCTTGATGAAGGAGTATGTAGACGCTTGGTCCGTAGTTAAAGCAGATTGGG